CCTGCCACACACTTGTTGGTTTGTTGCAATACTGCACCACAAGCTAAACACGGCGGGCGCAAAGCAAGAGTATAGGCGTTCGCCCCGTCTCACGCCGTACAGGGTTACGTCCAGGACACGCACCGGTTACGTCGGATGTTCAGTACATCGCCTGTGACAGCCTGCAGAGAACAGCAGTTTGTTGTTCGATGGCGGTCGAGAGAGACCGGACCGCTTGATTTCCAAAAAAGAACCAGTCGAGATCAACGAAAATCTCAGATCGTGCATTACATCTGTCTTGTACAGATGTTCATTATTACTGCTGTAGATACATAGACTACTCCTGTAGGTCAAGATCTTCTCCTCTCTATCCTTCTACACTCTTATCGATACACGACCCTGTGTCCCAGTTCCATTCAAGAAGAGGCAAGGGCAAAGTATGTGTTGTTGGCGAGGGCTGTGGCAATAGACTATACGTACAAGCGGCTTCTGTGGATACCGGCGTGGTGGTGTTGATACTGTCTGTGTGTCGAAACTTTCTAAAAATTCATGGAACGGATGATACGATACACTCATCGCAGGTATGCACATCAATCATGTGTTCTTCACCGTCAGCATCAGCAGCAGCCCGGCCAACCCGCTTCTAGACGTGCGCAACAAACTCTTTGTCACGCTGTTGCTGTTTGCACATGTGAAATCATAGCTGCATGTAGGAGTATACCAACAAACTGATCGTCTAGACTAAAAAGTTGTAACATACCTCGTCAGTCAGACAACTAACTCTCTCGGCCGTCGGTACACTTTTTATTTATCACACGGGTGTGTACAGGTGACCTCTCTAGCTGCGGCTATTCAGCTACAGCAACGGTGGCAGACAGGGCATCCGTCTCCCGCCAGTGAAGGCATTTATTCCCGTCATGAGCTTTCAACAATCGCATCACGGGTGAGTGCACGTGGTGTGGCCTCGAGCTCTCTTCCGGCAGTTCGGGGATTGGACTTGTAGACTAAACGTGTACGCCATGTATGCAACTGAACTTCAGACAGCAAAGTGTACACAAGCCTCTACCGCTTGTATCTACAGCATACCTTTTGACGAGACTCTCGGGAGCCCTGGCCCTTGGAACGTTAGCATGCTGTACCCTGTGCAGAACCAGGGACGTGGCCGTACTGGAAAGCTTCTGATTTGATTTGCTCAGGCAACCTTCCAACCACAGGATGTATCGCGGACCATACAGTTAGACTGGTCACCTACCTGTCATCTACGACAAGGCAGGCAACGTCGCTAGATCATCATACGGTGTCTCTACTTGTATCACGGAAGTGATAGCTGCATATAGTCTTATGTGTGTGTTGCACTGCACCAAAGACTTATCTATGTTCTCCGACTTGTCGTCGATCACATGCTGTTCCTCCACGATTGTATGCATGCATAGCTGTAGGTCTAGTCTAGTTATTACAGCAATATTGTCGCTTCCCTCTCCGCCTTGCGCCGGGAACAGGCCAAAGAACTTTCTCCGACCGTGACTTATGTCGACTCCGTACTTCGTACCGTGGGATGAATGAAGGATCCCAGGATTTCCGGGTTGCTACTACAGTGTAGTACACTAATGTAGCAACCTTGCCCCGTATTGTTTCAACAACGTCAACATGAATAAATCAGGTCGGACGAGGACGATGGGTCCGAGAACGAGGAGTCGACGAGTGCTATGGAGAGCATGGAGGGCAGCGTGGAAGATTCTTCGTCATCAAGCGAATCGGAGACGGACGGAGACCAGGACATGGAAATTTGCGAAGACATTGAGGTCGACGACCGCAAGGGTGCCGATGTCCTGCTCAATATACATGACCAGCTCGACCTCGACAAGCTTCAGAAGGTAGGCAGATAGGTGACCTGGTGACATATGCTGACGGAATGTCTTGTTACAAACAGTACACGTTTGAACCTAAAACATCAGTGCTGAGTTTTTTGTGAAGGCCTACGTTTGGGGCCAAAATTACAAAATTAAACGCACCGTTGTCCTTTTGGACTATCTTGAAATGCCTCGATTTGGGCAGAAGTCATCCCAACGTTTTCCATGATGCAAACGAAGCGCTTCTTCGTTGTACAGTATCGAAAGAGACGGAGAGATGGCACCAGTCGGGGAGATAGCGCTGGGGTGCGCAAAGACAAACCTACATATATGTTGAACCGCATGGTTTCCGCGCCGCGGGGTGACATCTCGCCGACCCCCAATTCTAAGATTGAGCTCCTTTGAGCTGCCCGGAAGAGGTACATGCGTACCTTGTACATGTGGAGACGGTGTAAGCGGAGTGCCAGTCCCTCACGTATGTATGTACGGTCGCGGTTCACACGGGGTGTTTATAGGTATGGAAGTTGCCAACCGTACACCCGTACCTCACCTTAAAACAACGAAATCTATGCTACTGCGTACGTATTGGTATTCGTAGAGGAAGACCGAAACGAAAGCGGTATACAACCTGAGGATAGCATTTTGCACCGATACCCCCAGATGGAAACCACATCACCTATTGTCCTTGTCACGCCATAGCCAAACTGGCATTGACACCCATGACCACTTGCTGCATGGAGAGCTGCTACGTACCAGCCTACGTTGCCGTCGCCGGTGTGCTCACAGCCAGCAACAACCGTACCTTCACTGCCCGCATCTGCTTTCTATATACACTGGCAAATACTCAGAGGCGGAGAGATGTCACCGGTCAGGGAGATGGCACCGGGGTGCGTGCATACAATACTGCCGAGCACAGTAGCACGTGTGGAAAGAGGTTGCCTGACGAACATAGGCCGGGGGGCCAACCCTCGGAGAGCTTTACAACGTACCACATGGTTCTAAGGAATCCCTCTCCCTTTCAGATTGCTTGGGCGCAAACCGTACTACCATGAACATTTCAGCAAGTGGCCACGTTCTATTTGAAATAGCCGGACCAACCCTATAACCTGTGCTCTCCATAGGCACAGCAACAGATATGACATGAAGAATCACCCCGATTCTCCACGTCAGAAACGCCCACATAACTCACAGGGCTTGTGGCGCCTGCTAGATGATACAGATAGCCCCCGCATTGGGAACTTAGGAGTTAAGAAATTGAGCCTCGAAAACATTCAGAGTCGAAGAACTTGAGCACCATTTGTGAGCCCAGTCAAAAACCCCAACACTCAACCTATATAGCAGCCCACAAGAGGAACTAAGAATCCCAGCCTTGGCCTAAACTAGAGGTTCTTAAGTGCGAGTGCCATCTGTATTGCTTCGGATCTATTGCGCCTTTCACGAGCTCCATGTTTCCGATCGTTGCGCCTTGATCGTGTTCTCTGATCGACCTTCCAAAGATGAAGAGGTTCTTCATTGCTGACGATGACACTTTGGGGGCGTACGCGGAGCTCGATATGAAGCAATTCAGCGATGTGAGTATCAGGGCAAGGTCGTGTTCATCCACGCCCCCCACCACCACCACAACCACAACCACGAAGGCGTGAAGCGCGAGCATATCCGGGCTGCGGCCTACGGGTCACAGCAGATTTCCATGTCTTCTTCAGATGCCGCGCACGGTCTTACTCGGGCGATAGTTGGCGTAGTGCCTGAGGGTAGTGTCATTGCGCGCTTCAGGTTCTTGAAGGCAGATTCTATCTAGTGTTGATATATGTTCGACATCAAAAGGGAGATAGGAGAGGCGAGGGGTGCGAACCTAAGACAAGCATTGGTTTGGATGCGGTTGTTGACATGGGGTACTCTCGAATTCTTTATTCCTCTGTGTTCGGCAGTGCGTACACTTCGTGTACACACTCTCGGGGGCCGAATAGACTCCCAAAACGTGTTCCGTCTTGTCAGCACGGTGCTCTCTGGTCTCCCTGAGCGCCCCTTACAGGGCTGTAGAGAAGCATACACCTGTTCGACTATGGGTACCGTGTGTGCTTCTCCCACGTCATGTGTGTGGGTCAAGACGTACGTTTAGGCGGTGTTGTGATTTGCTTGCACCACGGGCTCTGCCATGCGTGGTAAACCCCACGCGTGGTGGGTGGACGCGGTTGGTATGCCCCACGCATCGGGTGCTGGTCTCGGAGGTGGCTCTCGGTTTCCCCTTCCCCACACTACCTTCTCCCCTCCGCCCGCCCAACAACGCCTCGGCAGGCGCTGAGGTCAGTTCTGCCCGATATCGAGGACCTGACGGATGAAGACCTCGGGCTACTCTTCATGAAGATCGACGCCAACGGTAGCGGAGACGTCGATTGGGATGAATTCACTGGCTTTCTATTGCAGGTAGGTGAGGCAGAATTGTCACCGAACGCTTATTGTTGCCGTTGTATGAAAGATCGAATCGTTGAGCATTTCGTGAAAAGTCCGGGTGCCGCGTGCGTTGCGTATCGTGCTGTTCTTCCCATGCTTGTACCTTTGAGATATTTCGCCGTTGTTTTGCTGCGTCACGATGTAGCACGAAGTTCAGCTGGTGCTACACCTTCTCCACACGTAAAACGATTCTTTGCAGGGGTCCTTCGTCGAACTGACATAAAAATCTATCTGTTCGGGGCCGTCGAAACCCACATCCATGGATCGATCGATCGTTCCACCAGAGTCTGTCGTACACTATAGTTCATACCTGATATGGCTGACCAGAGAGCACAGGGGCCGCGTCATGCGTCACCTAACTGGTGCGGTGCCGCTTTGAACACAGGGCTGAACTTCTAGCAAAGAATACAAATACACGTACTCGCCTTGCCCATCCTGTGCTTACTACGGACCGGCAGCTGGACGAGGGCAATCGCAACATGGCGGCGGCCGCACACATGGTGGACCTAAAACCACTGCCCAGGAATCAGCGGGCGGGGGCCGATGAGCACGCAGGGCAACACCGAGATATGATCGAAAAGGTACGTATTCGTTGATGAACCCAAGGTAAGCACGGTAGTCGTGGTGAGGGAATTCGACAGAATCCACGTGTGTGTTTCTTCCCGAGTACTTTCGTTTCCCGAAGAAGTAAAGGAGAACCGTTGCCCCGGCGGGTGATTGCGTGGGCGATTGCTACTGTACCTCAATTTGCCTTAGCAGCCAAGAACTCAGGTGATCGTAAACGTGTCAGTCCCACATTTCCCACATTGAACTACAATTTTTGCGCGCTTGCATGCCTATTCGTGGGCTTCAATGAATCCATCGTCAACGGCGTGCCGGGCCCCTCTTTTGAGCTCCCACATTTGAAGGTTCGAGCTTGTTACATACCTAGCACGCTTCTACCCATACTACTCACCCCCCAGGAGCCACAAGGGTCATATTTTGGTAGACAAAGAAAGAAAGTGTGCACAAGAGCTGGAATTCGCTGAGGTTCCGAAGTTCGCAGTCGCTTAGTTCGGCGGAGGGGGGGCGGCATAAGTCCGAGTACATGCGAGGTCGGCTCGTTCGCACTCTCGCGGGCATGCGCACTATCACGAACAGGGGGTTCATAGTGCAGGAGGGGCACTGTTCAGGTTTCGAGATGTAGCCTTGATGGCGTGGGTTCCGCCCTGAGGTGCAGATTCAGCCCTATCAGAGGGGCGGCAGAAGAGAGGAAGATAATGTTGTGCCACAGACAGCCAATGGTCTGACAAGAACAGTGTACCGAATGTATTGGTGAATTGAGTGTCCCTCACAAATCATCGTTAAACAAATATGGAGACAGATCGGCTGGCCCACAACGTATGCCAGAACGAGTGTCTCTGCACGAAGTTACTGCTCTCAGCCCTCCTGCCTAAAACCTTATCGGTTCTCTGGCTGGTGATTCCGCGCGTACAGTCATGACCTTTAATGGTGGCAGGGCACAGAGAACATGAAATATACTGCTTGTCCACGAGTGGTGGAGTGATGAGTTGCCCTAGGAGTGACCCGTAACGAACCAAAAAAAACGAAGCTTCGTGCAGGAGCGATGACCCGCACTTTTTCAAACGGTCCCGTATGGTGCGAAACCCGCACTGTTGCGGGTTTGGTCTTCACCAAGCGATTCCATCACCATAACAACACACCGAGCAATTACTACCGGTGACCAACGAGCACCCATTTTCTGAAACCCACACTACCCCCCCCCCCCCCCCCCCCCCCCCCCCCCCCCCCCCCCCCCCCCCCCCCCC